ATATAGCAAAAATTGAAAACAGAAATGACCAAATTAAAGACCACCTAATTCAAAGTTTTTAAGAAGCAGCTTAAGGATTATTTTCATTGTAAATCATGGATTTCTTAATACTTCATTCCATTTATTTTTCATTGTTATTGTATTGTTTCAGGGAGTCTCACATCCTTTTGGCGACAGTAGGTTTGCTGCTTTTGCGACTCCCGGGGTGTAATGCCAAATGAATAAATAAATAAATAAATAAATTAAGTAATTAAATCACCTTTCCACCATCCTAATATGAACATTTATCTTTTATCTGAACATAATAATTGTTCTAATTAAAGGCCAAAACAGAAAAGACCCTGAAAACCCCAGTCCCAAAAATTTTCTTTAAAAAATCGTAATTTCACTTTTGCGTGCAGCTTCTGCATTTCTTTATTGTGCTGTGAACAATTTCATGATTTGGCACCATGACAAACACTAAACAACTTTCTACTGTTTTCAAATTCAAATGTCGGACATAAGTTCGTAGTTCCTTATGTCAATATGAATCTATTTGCAGAGTACAGGTGTGAAAAAGTATGTAAACTTGTCTTGGAATCAATAGATGATGCTCGAAAAAAGGAACAACACAATTAATCCTATGTATGTTTTATCTGCTTCGAAATAACAAAGATATTTGATTCACTGGCTACAACATATTTAAACATGTACATGTGTTATTCTAAGACATTATCTTTTAACTAGGGTAGTTGGTCCCAGGGTGATGATTGAAGCCTTGCTTATTGTACCTATGGGAGCAAGAGGTGTGATTAACATTTAGACTTGTAAATGAGTTGCATCTTAAAGGATCCCTTTGATAGACTATTACCTATTAAATCAATCAAGCAGAAACCCTACCTGCCAGACAGGTACTGAGGCCTTATGTGCATGGCATTTATAATGTATTTAATGTAACAGCCAATAGCTGTGAATCTGATTATTTATTGATTTGTACAAAGATGTATGCATTTCAAGTTGTGCGAGATTGAATTCTTCACAGTTTCAAACTTCATAATTGTGAAAATTGTATTAAATTGTCTGAAAGGAAATGTGATAATTGGGTAGCTGCCAGCATTGTAATTGTAAAGATATTGTATTGAGTTCTTAAGTGTTAAGTTTATCTTATAATTTCATTAAAATCATACAATATAGTATGTTGCCTCATTAAATAAATATAAAGTGTATCTTTAATTAGGCCTATTATATCTCACACATGGATACTGTATATGTTTTGATGTTTAGAATCGAATGTTTGCAAGCTTAGATTATTGCATAACATGTTTTAAAGATGTCTTGCGCTACTGTATATTAGACCTACCTTTCTTATTCAGTCGAAAGCTAAGAAAATAAAATGGATAAAAATAAAATTTGATTAGGCCTGCTATACTTTGGTCGAGAATAGAATTTTGATAATAATAAGCTGCGGTGCTAGACCATTATACAGGCCATATGAGGGTGCCTGAGCATGTTTGTTCAAAGTTTTTAAAGAAATATCAGTAGTAAATTAATGAAGTAAAATCTAAAGCCATTTTTCCACTAGGTGAATTTATTCGCACGAATCAAAAATGTTGGTTCACGCGCATTACATTTCTATTGGAGTTTTTGCTTCAGTGAAATTGGTAATTCAAACGGTTTCTCCTTTTTTTGCGAAGCGAAAAAATGCGCAACAAATCAGAAGTTAGGAAATGAACCGACGCTTTCGATTTGTGCAAATGAATTCGCCGGCTTAAAGTCCTATCCAGACTATCAAATTATATTTAACAAAATCCTGGGACCTGCTTGGTCATGATGACATCACATCATGACCATATACAGTATAGGCACTTTATGACTATGATGCAGTGGCGGCACCGGGATTTCCCCAACGGGGGGGGGGGGTGTAAAGTCCCTGACGCAGGACTGATGTCTCTGACGAGAAAAAATTGGGCATGGTCGGGTGTCGCTAAAAACCTTTTAAAAGTGGCTTTTATAAAGCCACCGAATTCTGAGTATGCCAAGCATCTTTACATGAGAATTCAATAGTTGTCTGTGTATTATTAGTATTTTTTTTATGTCTATAATTTTAATTTTTTTTTAATGAATATTCATATTTATACAAAATGATGTAGAAATGCAGGCAGTGAGAGATGGTTGGTAACTATGACGTCATACCCAGGCTATACTGTAGTAGGCCTGACGTGGCAGAATCAGTCAACAGGGTTGATGACCAGGAGCTTTAATAAACTCTAATTAAATTTTAATGAATGCTGACATGTATTATGGAATAATGTCTCAACAGGTTATTCCATATATCACCACTATTGTTTAGAACCATATGTACTTCTACTCTCTCAATAATTAATTTGTTGAATGTCCTTCAGAATTTAATGAACAATTCACTTTCCCAGAAAAGCTATAAGATTACAAATAGAGAGGATTGCAAACAAATTTTTTCTACTTAAATTTACATCATTAATGTCTAGGGCCCAAATTTAATTAACAATTTAATACTTCCCCAGAAAAGCTATAACATTTTGAAGAGAGGCTTGCAAACAAATTGTTTCCACTTAAATTTACATCATTTACATCTAGAGTCTATGGGCCAAAGCCCTTTTATGGCTAGGAAGACAAGCCACCATTTACCTGGGCCATTATTTGGCTATGTTTTTAGTATGTATGCGCAAATTCGGAATGTAAGCTTATATTTTTTGTAAAGAAAATCAATGTCTGACTTTCAAGTCATGCAGGACAGTGGGGTACTTGACTTGTCCCATGGAGAGGTTAGCCCCTTTTGTCCCATTGGCACTGGTGTTATGTCAGAGGCCTATAAAAGTTCATAGTATAGGCATACTTAAAAAAGAGCATCCAGCCCTGCCAGTGTGACTGACCTTATTATAGATATCAGGAAATTACTGTAAAATGACACTACTGTAGCAGAAGTAATCAAATTAATTTTGTTTGCAAACAAATGTCCCCTGCTGTGATTAAATAAACAATTAAGCAATCAGTAAACAGTTAGAAATAGAAAGCTCATGGGAACACCCATCAATCTCAATATAAACAAGCTATTAGCAGTAGAGATAAAGTGTGTCATGTATAGTAATTTGTCTTGCACTGGTCCATCAATGGTCAAGCTTCTCTGACCTACATTATAATCTATTTTCAGTGACCTAGATGACCAGGCAATTAAAGTGGCAATGTTACCTGGTCAAGTCCTAGTGCCACCTTTTAAAAAATTACATACTAGTATGGTACACACTTTCTGGAATATACGGTGGTTTAAGCTTTCACATACGATACGAACGATGCACTGAACGTCAGCATGCATAATTCTTACAGGTTCAATTTTCTGATCGGTTAGGTAGATGGCCCATCAATTTGAAAATTGGGATTCGTTGTGAATGAGGCTAGTGTACAGTATGGCTAATGAATTTTTAATCGATGCAAAGAAAGTTCAAAATTACCTGTTTATAAATCACCACACAACCAATCTCCACACAACCAATCTAAGGTTGTGATGCTCATAATGTTTACTTCCAAAAGGATAGGCTTTCCAAAAATTCTACCATGAAAACTAATGGAATGCCACAAAGTGAATAGAATATGCCTAAATACAGCGCAAATTATGCAATACAATGAGAAAAATCTTGGCAAATCCTAGGGCTCACATGTACTTACTTGGCCTCTTGAAGCTTTTAGCTTGGTTGGTGGTTGCCATAGCCTAGTGTTTTAGGTTTGTACTGCAGTATACCAGTTGGTACAATAAGCTCAGTAATTTTAATAAGCTTAATGTATTAATGACAGTACTGTGGCAAATGGAATCACATAAGAATATGGCCATTATTAAATTTATCAAGGAATAATTTTTCCATTAACCTAAAGTGGTGATTTGGGTATTAAAAATGTGAGTTACTACTTTATGTTGCTTGATAATAAAAGTATGAAATGATTTATGAAACTTGATGTAGGTGAGAG